GCCACAACGCCCGGCTATTTTTTGGTTGCAGCCGTCATTGTTGTTTGGCGGGTCCGGGCTGGGGATTCGAACCCGCCACCTTAGGTGTACTTGGCTGGTGCCTTAGCCTGTTGAGCTATAGGCGCTGAGCCGGCTTTTAGGTTTTTAATTTCATTTATTTTTTTAAATTTTAACTTGATGTTTTTTTCTGGGATGCCATCTTTCAGAACATAGCTGGACATTTTAATAGCCATTTTTATTGCTTTGTGAATTAACTCTTTCCCTTTTATTTGTCTATCTTCCTGTCATCACTTTACTTGCTGCTCCTTCCTGACATCTTAGAATCTGGTCTGCCTGCCTCTAATTTTGGTCCTTTCCAGGCCATCCACCAGAAACCACAGTACTCTTCTTGAAACATGGATTTGTTTGTTTGTTTGTTTGTTTTTGTTTTTGAAATATGAATTTAAACATATCACTCCTCTGCTAAAATGTTTAGTGACTCCCATTATATCTGTACTTAAGATACAATTCAAAGTTTGTACCATGGCCTGTGGAGTCCTGCATGACTTTGCCTCATTCTCCTCACACGTCCACGTAGTCATGGTTTAGCTAACTCCTCCTTGTCCAGGTAATTGCTTACAAGTAATTTCCTACAGGGATATATTCCCAGTCCCACGTCCCTGAACATGCCTCTTGTAGCAGTACTTCTGTTGACTATTTAATGTCTTTCTCCTTCACAATGTGTGAGCTCTTGAGGGCAAGGAGCACAATAAACTTATTCTCTTCTATGTATCTTCAGTGCTCAGCACAGTGCCTAATGCATCCGTTGTGCTTAATAAGTATTAGACAGAGGGATGGAAGAAGAGAAAGAAGACGGAGGAAGTCAGGAAGAAATTTCATGAGCTAATATTCTGGGTTAAGTTTACCCTAACAAGGTTGGTGTCCCCTTACTCACCAATTCCTGGAAGCTGGCTATTTAGTGTGAGACTTTAAAGATGGTGCTGAGAAAAGACTTTCATTTGGCCTGAAGTTTATTCCTGAAATATTTCTATTTTCAGAAACAGCCAAGAGGTACTGTTGGTAGATACATGACAGGGTATACATGCGTGTATTGTTTAACTCTTCATCCTCTACAACTAGTTTACCATAAAAGTTTCCTTTCTGGTCTTCTGTATTCAATGCCTTTTCTCTCCACTCTGACCTATTGTTGCCATGTATATGTTTATTTCCACCCTGTCATTTGCATACTTAAGGATCTTCACTGGGTCTGATTCAGAACATCTGGCCCAGGACCTAAACACGTATAGTTTTCCTCGAATAATTCTGATAATATAATCTTGGTTAAGAATTGCTGAAGAGTGTAAAACATACCTCTTAAAAAAAGAGCAATCTAAATGGTTAATGGTATAGAGTTTGGAATCAGATGGACATAGGTTATATTTCTGACGTTTATTGGTTGTGTGATCTTGGTCAAGTTACTTATTTTTTCAATGTGTCATCGTTTTCATTTGTAGAATAGAAGTAACATCCACTTCACAGGTGGATGGTAGGGAGTAAATTAGATAATGTATGTAAAAAACATGCACAGTGCCATATATATATACTAAACAATAAATGTTAGAAGTTGTTTATGTTATAAAACATCGTTTTCATTTGTAGAAGTAACATCCACTTCACAAGTGGATGGTAGGGAGTAAATTAGATAATATACGTAAAAAACATGCACGGTGCCATATATATATATATATATACTAAACACTCAATAAATGTTAGAAGTTGTGTAATCATTTAGTTATTCATTCAATAATTAGTTTTTCATTACGTATTCAACACTGTGTTAGGGACCATGGAATACATAAGATTACAAAATATGAACCCTGCTCTTGAGTCTCTTAGAATTAGTAGGGGAGACAAAATTATCATAGCATTATACAGTTAAAGGATAATAAAATGAAATGTAACTATTATAAAAGACCAAATAAAAGATGTATGTAAGGGAACATGTTTACCTAGCATGTTGGCTTGTTGATTAGCATAAAATAGAGAGGGAGAAAAAAATCTTTCAAACTGCTCTGACGAAGCCTTCAGAGGTTTAGTTTTGATGCTGCCTGCCAGATGGAAAATGATGCAGAGGGGAAAAAATCCTGTATTTACTTCTCAAAATTAAGACAGGATGGAGGAGTGCGTTTGAGGAGTGAACATATGTGAATAAATATGGTATAACTCTTAATTGGTTCCTGATGATTAAAATTTAAATGGTTTCCATTGGGAAAGCACAGATACAATATTTTCACTTAATGAACCAAGCCTTAGAAGTCATTTATTTTCACCTTGTTAAACCAGAAATCAAACACTGGATGAAGGTTTCAAACCTATTTTGATGTATATTGACGTACTTTTCTCTCTTTCAGGGTCGCTATGGCAACTGCATCTTCTCAAGTTCTGATTCCAGACATCAATTTTAATGATGCCTTTGAAAACTTTGCTTTAGATTTTTCCAGAGAAAAGAAACTGCTGGAGGGGCTAGATTATTTAACAGGTGTGAAAATACTGTGTTTTCCTTCCCATTTTAATTTTTTCCTCTTGGTGTGATTTTACTTAAACTTATATTACAAATTTTAATATAAAATTAAAATATTAATATAAATTAAAATTTGTTAAATTTACTTAAAAATAATCTGAAGAGGATATTTACAGTGAAAATGTTTTATAATCGTTAAAGTGATGCATGTATCTTTTTAGAAAGAGTAGATTTTAGTTTGTATAACAGAAAATAGAGATGATTTTAAAATCTTTATGGGATAAGAATGAGTATACAATCCATACTTAAGGGTAAGACACAAGAAATTGCTAATGGCTTAGTCCTTCTGAGTCAATTGTAATACATCGTTGCTTGTTAAGAATGTTACAGAATGTCCCACATGGATACAGGTACTATCCAAATGGTTTTAAGAGAAATTAGGAATTACTAGATCAGAAAGAAAAGTGTGAGAAATACATGGCTTGCAGACTATTTTGGAAAATGAGAGATGCGACCAGCCTGTTAAGTGTTGGCTACCTTCAGGATTATTGAATGATCATTTCATGTGAAAAATATACACAAACTAACTTTTATGTCTTTCTAAATTAGAATAATGGCTGTGAATTTTATATTTGCAGCTATTTTGTTACTATATTACCATAGATGTCATTTACTGAATATCTACTTAATGCCAAACATTGTGTATTAATTTTGTATTATTAATTCTTACGGTAAATCATCCATTTTCACAGATGAAGGAACTCATATTAACTGGCCCTTGACTATACTGCCAAAAAATATAATAAAACTTATTTTGAAATAAAAAGCAATAAGTTGAGGGCCATATATTAAGAAAAACTGTGTGACCACTTTGCTCTGTTATTTATATAAGTGCTTATACCATGTATAGGCAGACTAGACAATTGAGGCAACCATCACAATAATTTGGTTTATATCTTTGCCAGAAACATCTTTATTATCATAGCAAAAGTGGTTTGGGGGAGCTGGAGGTCCCAGCATTTTGCTTCAGGTTGTATGGTTCATGCAACCTAATGATTCTCTGTTAAGAAAACCTCCTCTCTAAGGCATGTTGGGTTAGGCAGGAAGAGTAGTGATTGTAAAATTCCATAAGAGAAATTTTGCTTTCCTTACATTTTCTACCTTTCCTTACAGCCCCAAACCCACCATCGATCCGAGAGGAACTCTGTACTGCCTCCCATGACACCATTACAGTCCACTGGATCTCTGATGATGAGTTCAGCATCAGCTCCTATGAGCTTCAGTACACCATATTCACTGGCCAGGCTAACTTCATCAGTAAGTCATGGTGTAGTTGGGGCCTGTGGCCAGAGATAAGGAAATGTAAGGAAGCAGTAAGCTGCTCAAGATTGGCCGGGGCGCCACGAGGCAAGTGTTTGTAAGACATGTTAGGTTGTTCAGTATAGTGTTTCATAGACAGCGTAAGCTCCCCAGAGCATTACAAAGACCTTGCTGATGGGTGACAACCTAGTTGTGTATTTCCTTTCTGGGCAGTCACTGGGGCCACTCCTGTTTATTTCTGTAATAATCCTTATCCTTTCCCCAATTAGTCCATGTCTCTCAGTATTTGTTCATTGCTAGTTCTGTGTGTGTGAACATCTGCCTCTCTCCTTGACTCTGCTTCTACTTCATTAACATGGTAAAATAGATCATGTTCAGAGACTTCCTTTCCCACACCTATTTGTGTCAGTGAATGTGGTGACAACCCTCTTGCCTCTGTCAATATTCCTTTTACTCCTTCTCCCTTTCCATCAAGAATAACACTAAATATAAAAACATGTCAGTTGGCCCCAAAAGGAAAGTCATTAACAAAGCATTTGTTTAGCTCACATGTTATGGTTTAATCTTCTGGTGAATTGGAGCAAGACAAAGCAGGGTAGGCATTGAATTTCACTCATTGATTGCCAGTCAAGTGGAGTTGAGCTGAAAGTTCCCTTCGATGTATTGGGGGAGATGGTAACAAAAGAAGAATTAAAGGTAGATTCAATACGGGAAGCAATTGCCACCGTAAGATCGCATGTACATGGCTACAAATGATAATTTTCTTTTACCTTTGTGTTGTGCTTTGTGTCTGACTTCACAGATTGGCACGAGAGGAGATTTTCCAACTAGGCCCTCTTGATAGGCTTCCTTTTCCTGTTTTGTGACAATTCTGGGGCAGACTTCTGCTTGTGAAAATGGTGGGGTGGGGAGAATGAAAGGACATTTGGAGGTCAAACTCTAAAGAAAACACTTGCCTCGTGCAGCTCCAACCTAAGCCACTCGACCCATGTAGCTATGTTCCTGGGTGTTTCTACAGGTTGTGACATCACAAACTCTAAGGCTTCACCAACATACCTGTTACTCCTACTCTGGGAAGTCTTAGAGCCAACTACTGTGCTTCTCCTTCCTGTTAAGGGGATAGCAGCCCTCTCCCAGGAGTTGAGAATAGGCCTGAGAAGTGACACAGATCAAAAGGTTGTCACCTTTGTTTCCAAGGCTATATAGTCCCTTGTAAAGAAATGCTTAGAGGATAATTCTTTTTTTTTTTTTTTTGTAGTTTTTGGCCAGGGCTGGGTTTGAACCTGCCACCTCCAGCATAATAGTGATAGGATAGTAGCACCTTAGAGTTGGAATGCACCTTAGAAGTTATCTAGTCTACTCTTCTTCTCTTCTGCCAGATGCCCAGTAGATGATCTGGGCCTGTCTGAACTTGAACATTTCCAGTGATAAGGAGGGAGCTCACTTCTAACAAAAACAGCCCATTCAGTTGTCGTGCAGCTATAAATAATTGCCAAGTTTTTTTTTATAAGAGGCATAACTCTTTATCTTAGTAAACAATACATTAATAATTTACATGTGTAGCATGCTTTGTTACTTACAAATACTTCCACATAAATTATTTCATCTAGTTCCCATGAGTTCTCAGTTAGCCTTATGAAATAGATGATACTAACTTTGATTTATAGGTGAAGAAACAGAGGCTCAAGTTAAGTGAATTGCCCAAGGTCACAGAGATACAAAATGATGGAATCAAGATGCTACCCATGCTTGCCAGACTTCAAACTTAATATTTCTTGAATAAAACTACACCCATTGGGCGGTACCTGTGGCTCACTGAGTAGGGTGCCAGCCCCATATACCGAGGGTTGCGGGTTTGAACCTGGCTCCGGCCAAACTGCAAGAAAAAATAGCCAGGCATTGTGGTGGGCACCTGTAGTCCCAGCTACTCGGGAGGCTGAGGCAAGAGAATCACCTAGGCCCAAGAGCTGGAGGTTGCAGTAGCTGTAACACCTCTACTGAGGACGACAAAGTGAGACTCTGTCTCTAAAAGAAAATAAAAAATAAAAATAAAACCACACCCCTCAGTTAATATTAGTTCTGGCAATTTGTGTTGTGTCTCACTTACAAACCTAATCCATCTTTCACATGATAGTTCTTCAGATAATTTTAAGTAGCTCCTATGACCCTTCTAAAGTTTCTCTTTTCTAGGCTAGACATCTTTGGTTCTTTATTATTATTTTACATCTTCAGTTTTTTAATTAAATCACAGTTGTGTACACTAATGCAATCATGGGGTGCAAAGTGCTGGCCTAATATACGATCTGAAATATTTTCATCAAACTGGTTAACATAGCCTTCATGGCATTTTCTTAGTTATTGTGTTCAGACATTTATATTTTACACTTAGTAAATTTAACATGTACCCTTGTAAAATGCACCATAGGTGTGGTCCCACCAATTACCCTTCCTCCATCCTACATCTTCAGTTCTTAAGATGCTTCTCGTGTGACATGGTTTTCAGATCCATCTTGACATCCTTTGTATGGGTATACTCCTGTTTGTCAGAATGTTTTGTCAAAAAAGTGAATTACAAGCCTGGTGCAGTGGCTCATCCCTGTAATCCTAGCACTTTGGGAGGCTGATGTGGGTGGATTGCTTGAGCTCAGGAGTTCGAAACCAGCCTGAGGAAGAGTGAGACCCCCATCTGGTGCATTCCTGTAGTTCCAGCCACTTGGGAGGCTGAAGCAAAAGGATCGCTTGAGCCCAGGAGTTTGAGGTTGCTGTGAGCTATGAGGCCATAGCACTCTACCCAGTGTGACAAAGTGACATTCTGTCTCAAAAAAACGAAAATAAAATATAAATCACCATTCACATTCTAACTTTTGACGATTGACCCAATAGCATTCTTTGTAGCATATGAAGAACCCAATGTTGTCCTCTATGGACTAGGTAGGATCTGGTCTTACATTTAATTATCATAGCTCTTCAGGTTCCTTTAATCTGGAGCACAGCCTCAGCCCTTCTTTGTCTATAAGGACATTGACATCTTTAAAAGTACCCTTTATATTATATTTTATTATACTGTTCCTTATTTTGTGTTTGTCTGATCTTTCCTCATGATTATATTCAGTACAGTCCTTTCTTAGGGTATTGTATCTGGAGGCACATGATGTCCACTTGCTCTTCACTGGTGATTGATAGTATTACAATTTTGATCACCAAGTTAGGTTGTCAGATTTCTTCACTGTGTAGTTATTTCTTTTACTTTCACCACTAATTAGCCACCTGTGATACTTGAAGACCATGAAGATACTGCTTCCTTACCAAACCCATCTCACCTCTCCCCTCATCCCTCTTTTAGCATCAGTTAATGATTCTTGTCTGATTCAGTATTTACTGTGATGATTACAAAATGGTGATTTTCCAGCTGAGTACTCCCTCCCACATTTACAAGTTAGCACTCGGCATTCAATTATAAGCAAGAGCCCTGTCTGGGCACAGTGGCTCACACCTATAATCCTAGTACTCTGTAAGGCCAAGGCAGGAGGACTGCTTGAGCTTAGGAGTTCAAGACCAGCCTGAGCAAGACTGAGACCCTGTCTCTACTAAACATAGAAAAATTAGCCAAGTGTTGTGACAGGTCCCTGGAGGCTGAGGCAGGAGGATCACTTGAACCCAGGAATTTGAGGTTGCTGTGAGCTAGACTGACACCAGGGCACTCTAGCCTGGGTAACAGAAACTCCATCTCAAAAAGAAAAAAAAAAGTACTCCATTCCCTGTTTCCCCAATTTGCTTATTTATTTATCAGTATGGACTGAAGCATACTCTTTAAATTTTATTATCACTCTTACTTGTTTTGGTGCCCAAATTGTTTCACTTTAGCTTATGTGAGCCTTTCAAGGTCACCCCAGGGACCTTGTGATATTCTCCCATCATTTTTTAAAGTACTCCTTACTTTCTGGCATAACAGAATGTTCTAGGCTCATTTTTATTTTATCTTGTCCCAGCCTTGAAATCAACCATCTTTTTTCAAGGAGCCCTTGTTCCTTTTAGTAGGAGAATATTAGAGACAAAGACTTAGGCAGTGTATGTGCACACAAAATCTACATATGCACGCACGTAATATATAAGCATATATACTTTACATATGTGCATGTACACAAACATATGCATGCTTAAGGAAGCAGAAATTCATATAAATACTTCCACTTTCAATGCATTCATTCCCATAGGTTCTTTCTTGTCTTCCCTCATTCTCAATATTTGTATGTTCCTTCTTCCATAGTATAAACCCTGGGCCCAACAGTCTCAATACTTATATTGATTTGCTCAATCCTGTCATATATCTAAAATAGTGTCAGAATTGCTCTGCCCACACCACTATAACAACAAACTTGCTAACAATACTTCAGGTTTTCTTTCCATGTCTTTTCCACTCTCGCTGCTTTGGTGTGGTTATGTTATTCATGTGAAGTGCAATGGGGCTCATTTGTTTCAATTTCTCTTTGGTTTTAGTCCCCCACCTTTCCCATTCTTGTGGATTTAATTTAATTTTTTTTGAATTTGTAAAACAACAATGTTTCCCAAAGAGAAAACTATACAGAAAAAGGTATAATCAGAGAAGTGTCATTCCCTCCACATCCTTTTTACCCTGTTCCTCTACCCCTATGCCTTGTCAGTAACCAGCTTCATTATTTTTTGGTTTATCTTTCCTATTGCTATTGGTGTTTCTTTGTAAATTCAAATAAATATATGTATATTTTATTTGCCTCTCCTTTCTTTTTGTTCCTTTTTCCTTCCCTTTCCTTCCTTTTCCTTTTCTTTTCCCCTTTCCATATATTTCCCATCCCATTTCCTTTTCTATTCTTTTTCCTTCCCTTTTCTTCCTTTTTCCTTCCCCTTTCCCTTCCTCTTTCCCTTCCCTTCCATTTCTTTCCTCTTCCCTTTCCTTTTCCCCTTTTCCATCCCCCTTCCCTCTCCTTTCTTTCTCCTTCCCTTTCCCGCTTCTTCCCCCTCCTTCTTTCCCTTCTCTCTCCTCCCCTGTTCTTCCCTTCCCTTCACTTCCCACTTCCCTTAGAGTCTCACTATGTTGTCTACACTAGTGTCCTGTGGCATCAGCCTAGCTCACAGCAACCTTCAAACTCCTGGGCTCAAGCGATCCTCCTGCTACAGCCTCCTGAGTAGCTGGGACTATAGGCACTCACCACAATGCCTGGCTAATTTTTCTATGTTTAGTAGAGATGAGGTCTTGTTCTTGCTCAGACTGGTCTTGAATTCCTGAGCTCAAGCTATCTACCTGCCTCAGCGTTCCAGAGTGCTAGAATTACAGGCGTGAGCCAGTACACCTGCCCTATTTGCCTTTCTTTCTCTCAAAACAAGTAGCATACTATCTGTGCTCTTCTACTATTTTCAATTGAAAAGATTTCCTGGAAATCACTCTATATCAGTTGATAGAGATCTTCCTCATCTTCTGTTATGGCTGCATAGTACTTCATTGTAAAGGTTGTTTTTTTTTTTTTTTTTGAAACAGAGTCTTGCTTTGTTGCCCCTGGTAGAGTGCTGTGGTGTCATAGCTCACAGCAACCTCAAACTCTGGGGCTCAAGCAATCCTCTTGCCTCAGTCTCCCGAGTAGCTGGGACTACAGGGGCCTGCCACAATGACCAGCTGTTTTTAAAGACAGGGTCTTGCTATTGCTCAGGCTGGTTTCCAACCTATGAGCTCAGGCAATCCACCTGCCTCGGCCTCCCAGAGTGCTAGGATTACAGATATGAGCATATGAACCACTAAGCCCAGCTGTAAAGTTCGTTTTTATATTGGTAGAAGTGTATCTGGAAGGTTATATAGTTTCCTGTTTGTGTTAAAATTTCATGTGCAGCTTATAACTTATACTGTTCATTGGAACATAGATAGGCAAGGCCTGAAACATTGATTCTGGCCCTTTTGCTTATTGTCTTTTCATAAGAATCACTGGGTATCTCTACTAGTTCTTCTTTCTATAGCATAGTTGTCCTTCATTATATTTCTTTTTCTAGTTTTAATTTGGGCTTTTCAGTCTTCTCTCAAATTAATTTTAAAACCCTTTGACTTACTGTTTTAAATTTTCAGCCTCACTAAATCCTTTACTAGAGCTGCATAGAAGTGAGTAAATTTACCACTCATTTCTCTTTCCCCTCAACCCTCTATTCTAACTGTGGCTTAAATGTGGTAAACTGATTACAAAGTAGATAATATAAGAAAGAAGTCTAGATAATCCACAGACTAGAATGATGGTCTCTCTTTTACAGAAAGCTAGCCAAATACATGTTTTTAATTATCTACATTTCTCCTGTTTAAGTTAATGTTTAAAGTCTAAAGACTTTGCAAAGCGGAAGCCTAATCTCTGATCCCCCTACTTAGAAGGGAAGAAGATTCCAGGCAACGGTGTTTCTGGACCATTCAACCACAAATAAATATGGGAATTAAAGCCAGGAAGGGGTAAAAATGTACAGTGTCAGAGTAAGGAGATATCTTCCTTTGGTTATCATGTCATCTCCTTGGCTTCCCTATGAGACCCTGGAGCCCAGCTATTTTGGGAAGGAAGGATGAGGATGAGGTGAGAGAGTAGAATCATAAGCCCTGAAAGCCTCACTACCTTACAGAGAGACAAAGGAACATTGTCATTCACCTCGTGAATTGTGATATAGTGGAGAGAACACTCTCTAAGATTTTAAAACACTGGGGTTTATACTGTTAGCACTGTCACCAGTTATGTGTGGCCTTGGGCAATCACTTTTCGCCTCTCAATCTTAGTTTCCTATTTGTAAAACGAGGGACATATGATGTCTAGGTGTTCTTTCAGCTCTTGAGTTTCCATGTTCTGTGCTGCTGTGCATAGGACTCCTCCATCCATATAACACCAAACTCAGCTCTCAGAAAAGTGGACATCTGGGGCAAAGATTCAGAGACTCCATATGAGTGATGATTCTGTGACTTTGTATACTTTGCCATGTGTAAAAAATTGAAGTAACCTAACTTCTGCTAGTGATTGTGCTCAATTGCCAGAAGCAAGGAGCTTGGCATAAATGTAGCTCTGTGGGAGAAAACATATAGTGGAATCATAGTCCTGGTTCATCTCATTATGTCTTCCCAGATTCAAAAGGAAACAAAATGAATTCCCTTGGTGGGGTGGGGCTTCTGATGAATTTTCAGTGTGTTTTTCACTCTATCTCTTTTACCTGCTGGTTAATGTCCTTGCCTTTCCCCACTTCCCAGGCCTGTATAATTCAGTGGATAGCTGGATGATTGTGCCCAACATTAAACAGAACCACTACACAGTGCACGGACTCCAGAGCGGGACGCGCTACATCTTCATTGTTAAAGCCATAAACCAAGCAGGCAGCCGGAACAGTGAACCTACCAGACTTAAAACAAACAGTACGTTGTGGTAATTTTGAAAGGGAAGATCAGTTTTCCTGTCCATGTCATGAAGTCCATTTGACCTGATCAGGCCCCCACTGCAGTGCATGAGAGCAGTGGTGCTGGGTAGCGGAGTTTTACTACTGTAGTTTGTGCTTTGGCAAGGGGTTTGTTGGTGCCCATGGAAGATTTGTAAACACAGAGCTATAAATAAAATAACTGGCAGCTTGGAGGATATTAGTGAAGAGTTTTTCTCTGCATACCACCCCCCAGATTTGGGACACAATTGAGTAAAAGAGTATTATTCTGATAATCTTAATATTAGAATCCTACTTCAGAGAAGCCATATCTGTTAGGAATGTTTTTGACTTCAAACAGCACCAACTTAGCTTAACAAATAGTATGTGTTAGTAGATGCAGATTATATTTTTTCCTCTTCTGATATGCAGCAAGAAGTTTGAAGGTAGCAGGAAGTTCAGGGTGGGTGCAGCTGCTCTGTGATGTCACAAAAGATGCAGGCTCCTCCCTTTGTGCATTGGTTTATTACCACATGGTTGCAAAATGGTCGCTGCAACCTTCAGGTGTCATCTTTCCTTTCAGGATAGGAAGCTGGGGTTGGGACATGTGATGGCTATCCCTTTTATCAGAGAAACAGAAACTATCGCAGAAGTTTCCTCCACTCTGTCTGACATGAGCCTCATTTTATTAGCTGCTGCTAGTAGCAAGGGAGGCTGGAAGATTGAGTATTTTACCTTTCCAGCCTCTATAGGAAAAGTAGGTAAGAGAGCAAACTTTGGGAATGAGTGTTGTTTTAGCCAACAGTGTCTGTCACAGAAACATCTTGTATTATAAAGCTCCCCCCATACTCAGTAATTGGCCCCCTGGCAACAAGGCTTTTGTCCTAATGGTGGTAAGGAATTCTCTGCTGTGAAGGGTCCTATAGAGCAGATGTTTTCCCTGATCACTGATTATACAACAGTCACTCTAACAAAGATGCCCACTTATATTTTGCTTATGTCCCAATTTTAAGAAGGTAAAAAACTGTCTTGCTACTGAGATCTCATTAGTTTTTTTTTTTAATTTTTTGTTCTGCCATCAAGCTTCAATATGTCATCAGTCTCTCTCACCTCAAACTTTGTAACACTCCTTCCCTTAAAATCTATACAAATCCCAAACTGCCTACTGACATAAAGCAAAGCTCCTTTTAAGTTTGATAATATATGATGACAGCTTATTAGCTCCTACATGCTCTTAGGCAACATCCCCATTTTTTTCCTACAGTGGTAAAGTAAATGCCTCCACAAAGGTTGTTTTATCGGAGATTGACCTTTATTTTTATTTTTTTTGAAAACTCTGGCTTCTGGCCTGCTTCCTTAATCTAAACAGCAGTCGACTTGTGCTGACCAAAGACTGATTATTACATCTCGGCTACCTTTGTCCAACATTCACAGTCTGGCTCCTCTGGTAGTGGTGGTTCTAGAGGACAAAGGTAAAATTTCCAAGTAATTCATTATGCTTTTTCTTTTTTCTACTTTTTTCCAGGCCAGCCCTTTAAATTGGATCCCAAGATGACTCACAGGAAGTTGAAGATCTCCAATGATGGATTGCAGATGGAGAAGGATGAAAGCTCTCTGAAAAAGAGCCATACCCCAGAGAGGTTCAGTGGCACAGGGTGCTATGGGGCAGCCGGAAATATATTCATTGACAGTGGCTGCCACTACTGGGAAGTGGTCATGGGTTCCTCAACATGGTGAGTGGATCCCATTTTTCTTTACTCTTTTCTCCCCTGTTGTCAGGTTCCTGGGACATTCAGTTCTTTAGCATAGCCCTCATACTAGTAACTCAAAGTTCAAAGCTATCTGATGAAAACTACTCGTAGAAAGATTTTTTTTTAGCTTTTTAATAAAATCATTGAAAATATAATGGCCCAGGAATTAGAAATTAACTACATCACTCTAATTGCTAACTTCCCCCCCCCTTTTTTTTTGAGACAGTCTCATTTTTTTGCCCTCAGTAGAGTGCTTTGGAGTCACAGCTCACAGCAACCTCAAACACTTGGGCTCAAAAGATTGCCTCAGCCTCCCAAGTAGCTGGGGCTACAGGCACCCTCCACAACACCCATCTATTTTTAGAGACAGGGTCTTGCTCTTGCTCAGGGTAGTTTCAACTCCTAAGCTCAAACAATTCACCCGTCTCAGCCTCCTGGAATGCTAGGATTACGGACATGAGCTACTGTGCCTGACCCTAATTGCTAACTTTCTAAAGCTCTAGTGATACCAGCATTATGCATATAAATGTAAACATTTGAGGAAGAAGATGTATTATTTTCCTCATATGTGTTTAATCCTATATGGTGTCTAGCACAACTCAAATCATTTCTAAATGTTTATTTCTCTTTCCTTTTTTGGCAGGTATGCAATTGGCATTGCCTACAAATCTGCTCCAAAGAATGAATGGATTGGCAAGAATGCCTCCTCATGGGTCTTCTCTCGCTGCAATAGTAACTTTGTGGTTAGACATAACAACAAGGAAATGCTGGTGGATGTGCCTCCACAGTTGAAGCGGCTGGGTGTCCTCCTGGATTATGACAACAACATGCTATCTTTCTATGACCCAGCTAACTCTCTCCATCTTCATACTTTTGATGTGACCTTCATTCTTCCAGTTTGTCCAACATTCACAATTTGGAACAAATCCCTTATGATCCTGTCTGGCTTGCCCGCCCCAGATTTTATTGATTACCCTGAGCGGCAGGAATGCAACTGCAGGCCTCAAGAATCCCCCTATGTTTCTGGGATGAAAGCTTGTCATTAAGTTTCAAGAGAGCATATAATTCAGCAGCTCTCCAGTTTAGCAGTTCTTCCCCTCCTAAACCTAAGGTAGTGTTCAACATATGAGATATAAAATAAAGTTCATTTGAAGCATCCAAAATAACTAGATATTGTAGATTTAATTTTGTGCATTAAAGCTTGTATTTGGATTAATGTATTGAGTTCTCAGAACAAATTATATGAGTAGTCTGGGTTCAAGCCATTGGAGAAAAATTTAGAGAATGCCTCTGTTGTCACTGGAGAATTAACAATTCCTAATGATTTAGGAGTATACATGATACTGGAAATAATTAGTGTAATTCTAGGTAAATAAGGTAGAAAAATGCTCTGAACAAGGAGCTAGCCAGCCAGTAAGGGGGCAGTAGTCAGCCTTTCTAGTACTGGCCAGTTTGACCAAATAGAATTTTGAACATTGTCAAATTATCACACATTGTGTCTCACTTTAGATTAAAAACCTACAATAAAAGGTTTATTGTAAGTAAACCATGAACATGTATATATAATATGTAAAGTGAGTTACATTCATGTGCTTGTATAATTCACTTTATATATTATAGATACACAGTAAACTTCTTAATTTGCTAATTTTGAGTGAAAAATATACTAGAAGAAAATAAATTACACCATCCATTTCCGTCCCCTAAAGAAAAGATCAAAGTCAATCAACATTTCTCTCCTCCCTCCTTCCGTTCTTCCTTTCCTTCCCGCCACATGTATACACATGCAGTCATGACACAGAGAGTGGGAAGAGTTCTAGGCTGGGTGAGGAATTGGGGGCAAGATCGCACAAGGGAGGCAATTTCTGAATAGAAAATTGGCCCAGGTAGAAGCGTCCTATGGAGCACAATTTCATTGATGCTTCCTAATAAAGGAGGTCCACCTGAACTGTTAAAAATTCTGTCACAGAATATTTCAAAGAAATACAGTTTTATTACTGTCAAGTACATACATTTATTAGAGTTAAGCTTTAAAAAGTTGCATAATGGAAGTTCTTTACGAATTTGTTTTACTTAGTAAGAATGGAGCGTTACAAATGGAACAACTATTTGCATACAAATGTACTTGTAAGTTGACACACTTCTGAAGTGCTTAAGAATGAATGCCTGAAAACAGTTTGCTTTCTTAACTAGGTTAAATAATCATTCCTCTTACAATCTTGTTTACACTATTCATTTGCTTAATCAACTCTTTCTGGCAAATGCAGACATAAAACTCACCCCAGTTCCTCATTGCTATATCTGAAGAAAATGAAGCTTTATGGCTTGTGATTTTGTTAGTTCTGTTGCAGGGACTGGGGATGTCAGAGAACCAGAGCTTTTCTCCTTTCCAGGAGCTAAGTCTGCTTCAAGGAGTCTACTCCATGAGAGTTTGGAAAATCTTACTATTACACAATCGCAGAGTGGTAGCTGTAATAGTGTCCTCAGATTGGACCCTTGAAACAATGTCAAAATTTCTTCTCTCTTCCTTTCCACCTGCTTGGTGGATGCTCATTTATTAATTTGTTCAATAAATGATTAGATGCCAGGTACTATACAGCTGCTGTGGGCATGCCCACGTTAATAAAGCACAGTTCCTGCTGCAATTGTCTCCCTATTGTGTAGAAGAGACAAAGTATCTATATTAATCTCTCCAATAACAGTTACTGTTTGTTCACCTATCATGGACAGATGGACTGATGCAGATACAAAAGGAAGGCTCAAACTTACATATCTAGTGCCAAAATTCAGCTTTTATGGTTTTAAAGACCATATGTATGTACTGCCAACCAGGACAGAAGAAACCTCAGATTCCTCAGTGCTATAATGGAAAGCTCATAACTTTTGGATTAAAATGATCCTAGTTTCTCTGCCATTTATTAGTGCTATGGCTTAGGGCAAGGCCTTCATTCTCTGAGCCTGTTTCCTTTTCTGTAAAATGTCTAGTTCACAAGTCTGTTTCAAAGATGTAAAAAGACAGCATGTGTAAACTATCTAGCATAGTTCCTGGCATTTACTAAGTGTGTCATAAATATTAATCTCCTCCCCTACTCCCAGCACCAATACTGTGTAGCAGTGCTTTAAAATGTGTGCCCTTCATTTCAGTTACTCTGGTCGCTCCCCTATGGCCTATCCTCAAATTCTTAAAACAAATGGAATTTTTCCCCCTTAAAGCCATTCACTGGCTCCTTAGCACCCGCTAGAAGGTACCTACTCCTTAGAGTTTGGCTTTTCCTGTCCTTGTTTTATTTTCACAGCTTCATCTTTTGCCACTTTCCCCAATAGACTGGTTATTCTAGCCAAGTTTATTTAGAAAAGTTGTTGTTTGATGTGCCTGAAACCAAGACATTAACAATTTTAATGCCCAGAGTAAACAATTGACTTTTCCTTACATTGAGGGAATAGTGTGAAAATGCTGTTTAAGTAGGGAACACTCCATCTCCACCCCACTTAAGTTTCTTTTACCTTGACCTTGGCTCTCGAAAGCCCACTTATTTGTGTGTCCTTTAGATTTTAGTGTTCTGGGACAAAGTGCTAATTTCCCCACTCTACTTTTGACGCTAGCCTGGACTACCTTTCCCTATCCTTATTGCCTCTCAACCAGAAGAACTTCTTGACCCCTTAGACTACATTCCCCTCTTTGGGGCTCCTGCGACACCCTGAGCATCCTCCTCTCTCAGCAATAATCACATTGTATAGCAGTGTTTTTCAAAATGTGGTCCTCTGGGGTGGCACCTGTGGCTCAGAGAGTAGGGTGCCGGCCCCACATACCAAAGGTGGTGGGTTCAGGCCCAGCCCCAGCCAAAACCACAAAAAAAAAAAAATGTGGTCCTCTGACTACCTACGTTAGACTCACCTTTAAAACAATTGATTCTGGGATCCTACTCCTGATTAATTAGAATATCTAGAAACATCGGAACAAGCTTCTCATGTAATTATGGTGCACACAAAAGTTTAATGTATGATAATCATCTTCCCTACTAGACTGTGAATACCTTAAGGTTAAAGATTGTCTTTTTTTAATTGTATTTTTAAAACCTGGCACAATGTCTACAACAGAGTCACTGTCTGGCAAATGTTTATTCAATGACTGTATAAATGAACAAATGAATTGTTAATGTTTCCCTCTTGTACTCTGATGTCCATAGCGATATTTATTATTTCCCGGGCAGAAAAGCTTGGTTACTACTGTATTCGGGCTGTACTGATATTATTTTGCAAAAATATCAGGGCTCATACATATGAATGAGCATTGTCTTCCTCAAAAACCTTGGCAGTTATCTTGAGGGATTGTCTTTGCCACATGCGGCACCATTCTTTTTAATATCATTTTGGTCTTTTCAAACTTTGTTCCTTGAAGGTGGATTTGAGTTTAGGCTATAGCCATAAATAATTCAGCATATGCCCACTGCATAAAGTGGGGAATTAACCTAGGTTTGGGGTAAGGAATAAAGTTTGACTTTGAGCCAAATAATGAAAAGTGATTTCCAAGATCATAACATGGCAGCAAAGTACTCCATGGAGGTGTGATGAGTCCCAGATATTTATTTCAGTTAACTTAAGACTTTCATAGAACCCAGGCAATGCCAGGGACCTTAAGAGAAGTCATTGGCTACTTCAAGCTAAAACCAGTTGGACAAAGAGAATAGGACCTATGCTTAACATCTTCAAGGAAGGCAACCCCATAAGCTTTTGTTATTGCTTTACCAAATCTATTTTCCACAGCCCTTTCTGCCAGAAAATTATCTTATGTCTGCAATTTATGCTTGTTTCCACTTTTTTGTATTGTCTTATTGAAGAAAGCACAATAATAATCAAAAACCATGTTAAATCTCTTTCGGGAATATGAAAGAAATTTTAATGCTACATTGAGGTTCTAGCTACTTGTAAGTAAGAGTAACTGCATCTGGATGTGTTTTTATTATGTAATTCCATTATGTATCTTTGGATGCAGTAAAATTCAGATTGCAGCAAAATCACTTATATCTTCTTCCTGGCAAAAACACACTAGGTGAATTTTCTAAGCTTTGTGGGTTTACACATTTATATATGACTACCTGGATGGAGCATTCCGTGGATGGACTTTTAAATAAGCTCAAGTATTTGATATCCTCTCTTCCAAAGAATGGAGGAGAGGCAGGTAGATAATAACCACTCCTACATTTATTTCTAGCTCCTGAAGTCAATTGCAGCCTCAGAGCCATTGGGCTGTATTTGGCTGTGTATTACAGGTTGGCCAGACTGATTGCCATCATATTAGGCAAAACTGACTTTTATGGTGTGGTCTGCCAGCTTCTGATTTATGCTGTATTGTTATGGGCTAGAATATTTATTAGACTATTGTTGGACTATTTTTTATCAAATGCTTTACCCCAGGCCTGTTTATACTGGGAGCTCTGGACCAATAGTGTCTCTCCTAGTGATAGAATTATGAGCATCTGTGGATTACACAGCCTCATCCCTCTCTAAAATATCCCAGCCCATCCAAAATGCTATATTACAAAATAAATAAATATATATGTATTCATGAGTTCTTGGTTGTCTGGCTAGAATTTAATTGGGGGAGGACTAAAAGGAAGATGGTCATGAATTACTGAAATTGGGTAAGTGACTTGGGGAAACCAATGATCATATACTAGAGATCTGGACAGAGAGGGTCCAGAGGCCCTGGAACACGAGACCAATCCTGAGCTCTTTGGTTTCAGGAGCAGGAAAAAGTGAAGAAGACTAAACGAAGGTATAAGAGCTAGGGAAACATTTAGTTTCAGAGCTTGGAACAGAAGGTGAGAATTAAACAATAACAAAATCTCAGTGCTGGAACCCATTAGTTAAGATTAGGGTAGGACTTTGAGCAAGTGAACTGACAGTTAAAATACCTGGCTTATAGAAGGAGTGTAGAAGGGTTAGTTAGGGCTAGAACTGGGCATATCTTAAGCTTGTGGTGGCACTGAGATTAAAGGGGTCATGCAAGTTGAAATGAAGCAGGGCAGTCAAAGATGGCAGCTAGAGAAGTGACTTGAAACAGGTCATCAGACAAAGGATCTATAGGAGCTCTAGCCCAAAGGCAAGAGGATTAAAATACAAAGGAGACAAGAATCTAGAATATCAGGAATTTATTTGAAGAGTATTAGGGGCAAATGCCAAACCCCAATAACTGGGGTTAGTACCTGCAGTTAAGATTTTTTTTTTTTTTGAGACAGAGCCTCAAGCTATCCCCCTGGGTAGAGTGCCATGGCATCACAGCTCATAGCAACCTCCAACTCCTGGGCTCAAACAAGTCTCCTGCCTCAGCCTCCCAAGTAGCTGGGACCACAGGCGCCCGCCACAACGCCTGGCCATTTTTTAGTTGCAGCCGTCATTGTTGTTTGGCGGGCCCAGGCTGGGGATTCGAACCCGCCACCTTAGGTGTATGTGGCTGGCGCCTTAGCCGCTTGAGCCACAGGCGCCAAGCCAAGATTTTAATATGTATATTTGTGATGTGATGTTTGGAAAGGCTAGCTCCGTTTAATATGCCAAGGTGCAGCAGACATAGGATTCTTTATATTTCCCCAAGTAGGAATAGAATTGGTCCCAGAGTCTCAGTGAAGGTGAGCCTATAGGTGAGGGTGAGGTGGTTTCAGTTATGAAGGTTAGGAGTAGATTGTCACAAGGGTATTGAAAATCTACTTAGCATGATAATGAAAATGACTGCTGTGAATTTCCAGGAATGGAGAATCAAGGTGATCTTCCTATAACTGCTAGGCATAATACACAAATTACAGTTGTGACTGGTTTGGCCTAGTCATCAAGAGCATAAGACCACCTGTTATCTTTCTAGTACTCTTCTCATTTTTGTGGGAGAATATTAAGATGAGAAAAATTCCTAACATTTATAATGGAGTAGCTAGTTCAGTACTTCTTCCCAAACGATTATAGATCTGGGAACTCAAGGAATTTCTCCGGAGCATTTACTGGACCTAGCATGGAGACATAGTAGATGCTTAGTAAAAGCTTGAATAGAAATAGAACCTGGTGAGCAGAATGACAAGTAGGCCACCTTGTATAGTGTGAGGTTAGAGTTTAGGTGAACTCACTACTACTACCACTTGTCAAATCCTCAGATAAGTAATCCTGGTCCAGCATTCCCATGACTGTTTCTTGCCATTGTTTTTTAGGGCAGGATCCTTCAAAGGTAACAAAATAGAATTAATAAATTGGCCATCAATAATGTCCTAATGGAGGAATACAGGCAAAACTTACACTCTTATCAAATCCTTACTTTTCTTCATCCTCCAAGAAGTGTTAACAAAGACCTTCTAGAGAAAATGTTTTTGTTGTCTAACTTGGGGTGATGAAGCAGGGAGGGCAAATTTTAGACTTCCAGATATAGAAGGGTCTGCCAACAGGGCCCTGGCCAGCTTATAGGAGATGTATTTGGGGCCAAGAGGGAGTCTTTCAAATTATCAATTCTACTTTCTATAGGGCTTGCCTTGTACACAGAATGCAAAAAGGATCTGTTACTCCTCCAGTCACGTTGAAAGTTCCAGAGAATGCTGAATGCACTTTGATGTGCAGTGGCAGGAAAAAAAAAATTATGATCTGTTCTTTTCTTTCTTTCTTTCTTTTTTTTTTTTTTTTGGTCCAGCTCAACTCCCTCAGTGATAAGTGAGGGTGCTGTGATAACCCAGAAAAGCAAAATTCACAGTAAACAGCTATCAAACTCATAAGACAAGGGCAAGTCAGAGGCCTGATAAATTCTATAGATAAAGATGCAATGAATCACTTTTAGATACAGTTTACTATTTACACAGCGAAAGAAGAACAAGTCAAAGATTCCAGCTTCTAGTAGTCTTTGTCCTAAATAACAAAAAGGATAACACCAAGACAAAAGGTTCCAGAACACTACCACCTGAGTTGTGGGGTATCCCATTGCTGAGAAGTGAATTCGATGAGACTGCAACTAAGTGGCTTTAGAGACTATAGCTCTATTATTCTGAGGGAAGTAGGTACCTTGTACCTTTATCTGAACTGGGGAGGTGGGAGGCTTTGAGAAACTGTCTCATGACAGTCTCCCAAGGGGAGATACAGAGATACAAGTAGGAGATGACCTTGAAGCAGCTCCTCTCAGGTCTCTTATCCTCTTGGGCTCTGAAAGGATCACAGGCACTCTAGCAACACTTAGATTAGTTTTGTGATTCAAGCCTTTAAATAAAGAACCACTGTGGCTATTGTCAGGGTGCCAGGGTGAGTTATTGTTTAACAGAAGCTAATTGAAAGTCCTGGTAACTTCCCCAGGTAGAAGCAAAAGGAAGTATAGTTAGGGTCTGTGGAAGAGTCTCATCTCTCCCTCTTCTTTGTTGACTTTTCATTAATGTCCTTTTGTTCTCAAGTCTCCTTGAGATTGGAGGTGGGGATGGAGCAGGGATTAAAGGAATAATTGGGATATACAATAAATTCAGGCTCTGAAAGATTCAGTACCAAGGCCAGAGAACCCCAAGGGCCAAGTCCTTTGCTATCTCTGGATCTTAGTTTTTCACTGAAGTGTATGGATAATTTCTAAGGGCCCTTCTACCCTTAAGAGTATGGATTTCCACAAATGCAAATTTAGTGACTGTAGTGTCAGAAGCCTATTTTGCATACCTACTCCAAGCACGTTGAGGGACATCAGGGCAGATCACCAAGAATCCTAAGAGTTCTCCGTCTCAGTCGGAGAAGTGAGTGACATTACTGTTACTTTAACATCACCATGGTTTCTCTTTGGGATGACTATCCTTTCCCACACACACTTTGCTTCACTTAGAGCTCCCTTGTCAGTCTCCCCCACTAATACTTGCCATCATAATTTTTGAGCCTTCCACTTCAACCCCTCTCCTCCCATTTTGCTTTACTCGCCAACTCTCGGAGATATAAATGATGCTCTAGCTAGGCATGTCTGAGTTTCAAATTTTATGAAACAGTCTTCCATGTGTCCACATAAATAATTGCCATAGACATTCCATTCCCTAAAGCAAGGGCAGGTCACTCAATATGGCAACGGACGGGGTTTCTGTGTGCTTCCTTCCCTAACATGGACATTTTCCCCCAAATGCCCACAAGTAACACTCCTGGGGCAGAGTAGAGGATCATGGTAGAGCCACCGTTCCAAGTTATCACTCAATCATTCAATGGAAAATTGACAGTTTCTTTGCCTAAGGAGCTGGAGTTCAGTGATGAATAAAACTTTTTAATCTAGAGGGGGGACAGACGACCAACCAACGAAGAACACTTTTCTAATCATAGGAGCTATCACTGATTGACTGCTTACAGTATGCTCAGCAATTGAGATGCAGTGACTCACTTAGCCCTTCCACACCCCTATGAAGTAAAGACTACTATTGGCTTCCTAGAACATGAAGAGTTAATCCCCGCACCCGTGCCCAAACCAGCCATGCCTTAGCTGCTAACAAGGATGTTTAAGTTAGCCATGGGTGTCTTTGCGGCAAGGTAAGAAGTTTAAGGCGCAACGCTGGAGAAATGACCTAGTCCAGGGGCTTCTGAAATCAGGGTTAACTAGGAAGGACTTCCAGGTCTTTGCCAAACACCCTCAAAACTGCCCCATGCAGGCTTTTCCCACCCCCTTTTTTCTCCACTTTCCCTGCGGTCCCCCAGTGCCTCCCCCACTTTTAGCCCAGCCCCATCCTCTGGGCCGCCTCTTCTCTGAGTCATTTCCCCTTCCCCGCCCCAAAGACCTTGGCGCTCTCTCGGAATCCCTACCCCGCTGGCAGGAAGTAGAGGGAGGGCAAACTGGCTTTTGGAACCAGGTGAGCAACTTCCCCAGCGAGGTGAGAAACGCCTCCTTATTCGCCACTGGCACCCCACTCCCCAGATTCAGAGGGGCCAGAAATCGAGGGAGTCCCCTAGCGTCCCTGTTACTCAGGGCCTGGTGACCGAGCGTGGGAGGTGCCACACCCCGCCCGGTGTCTCCTGGGATGTGAGGAGGGAAGCCGCGGCCCAGTCGGAGGAGTTTGTGGGTTGCCGCGGGCTCCAGCCGGGTGAGCTCAGCGCGCTAGGGAGGGACCTGGCTGCTGCGAAGCTGGGGGCGTGGGAGGGCCGGCCCCCCAAACCAGCCACTGAGAGAAGAGAGAGGAAATAGCTTCCCGGGACGCGTGCTGGGGGTGCGTGCTGGGTACTTGCAGTGAGGCGGGACGCGTGTGTATGCGCGTAGAGGGGCAAATGTGGGTAGGCACATGTGTATAGGAATGCATGTGTGTGTGCAGGAATGCGTATGTGTGTGAGCGTGTAGGTGCCTGGGGGAGATACATGTGGTCACTAACACAGGTGCGGACTTAGGGCCAGAGCATATACTCAGCAACACGGGCGTGCCTGTGCAGGGATGAATGCGCGTGTGGGAGTGAGCATGTGGGGGTTTATATGCGTGTGCGTGGGGTGCGTGCGTACGTGGGGGTGCGTGCGTGTGGGCGTGCGTGTGAGGTAGGGGAGAACTGAAAGGGAGGCGGACTGACAGTCCGACACGGACTGGCGGTCTCAGACGCGACTGGTGCTGCGTGCGCGCGCGACCCAGGTAAAGATGCCCGGGGAAACTCTTGATGAACCTCTTTTTTTGGAGGCGAGGGGGTGGATGGAGGCAGACCCATTGAAAATCTGCGAAAGATTATTGACCGTTTCCTAAAGAAGAAATGCCCATGGATCGCAGATGACCATTCCTGGATCCCAGATTATGATTTAAAGAGACAATCCAAATAGTTTACTTTGATAACTGTCATTGTCTTTTGATTCTGTGAGACCAGAAACGGAACAGGTGATCTTTCTGTTGGCCAGTCTGGCTTGGCGTGGCTTTGAGGCTACTTTGCTGCTCTTGTGGGGCATGGTGCCTGCGGAGTTGGGAAGGTATAATACATCACTCCCCAGAGTAAGATTGCAGAAGGATGCCTGGCAGCCTTCAGGGTAAAACCCATTCTCTCCCTGACCCCTCCTCACTGATTTCACTGCCTCTGCTCTAAGAGCTGGTCGGCTCCCTCATAAAGATGGAGCCAGAGATATCTAGTGCTTTCTTGTGTGACTTCCCCCGCCAAGCGTCCCGGCAGCCTGTGGGTAGTGTGGAGAATCTAAGGTTGGGACTTTGCTGGGAAAGTGAGTAAGACGAGACCAGCAGACTTGGGTTTTGATCCCATCTTTACCATTAACTAGCAAGTTTCTCAGTCTACTCAGAGTTCACTTTCCCTCATTTCTAAAATGGATTGGTCGCTGGAAGCGTAGTTAGAAGTGTGAATAGGACTATTTATTTCAAGCACATGGGAATCTTTAATAGGTGGCAGCATCGCTGAAAAGGCGTTTGTGTGTTTGTGTATTTGCAGAGAAGTTGAAGTAAAACATTTCTGAGTGTCTTAAATTACTGACTCATTTTTGGTTTCTTGTAGGCACACCTAGTTGTGCTATCCTGAACCAAAGCCCACTGAATTCACCTGGTAAAGTCACACTTGTGAAGTAAGTGAGACTTCACTTTGACTTATTCTTCGTGTTCAGGTAGGTAATGATAAGTCCATCATCACCTCTCACCTAGATTGCCACCTTGCTCTCCAAGCCTTCGCACTTGCCCGCTTCACCTTTTTTCATCCCCCATGTTGCAGTCAGAGCTATCCTTCTATCTGAGAGGCAGACATAACCTACTGGTTCCGAGCACAGACCTTGGGGTCAGACGTATCTCCTTCAGATCTCAATTGTACCTTGCTCCACTACTTTCCAGCTGTGTGACATTGCACAGGTTACTTTGCTGCTTTAAAAATCCTTTTCCTTATCTGCTGAGAAATGTCTACTCAGATCCTTTGCCAGTTTTTAAAATTGGATTATTTGCTTTTTTTTCCCTATTGAATTGTCAGAGGTCTTATATAGGGTGTCGGTAAAGTTCGTGTGAAATTAAAAATAGTTTGCACTATTGCATGGAATAGATTTCCAGTTTTTTGGTGCCCTCTTCAATTTCTTTCATCAATGTTTCATAGTTTTCATTATAGAGATCTTTCACTTCTTTGGTTAAGTTTATTCCCAGGCATTTTATTTTACTTGCAGCTATTATATATGGGAGTACTTTCTTGGTATTGTTTTTTTTCAGATTGTTGACTCGTGGCATATAGACATTCTACTAATTTTTGTATGTTGATTTTGTATCCTGCAACTTTACTGAATTTATCAGTTCAGTAAAAGGGGACAATGGTTCTATCAACTTCAAAGGTTTTGTGAGGCGTTGCAGATGTCATGCATGTAAAGTGGCTCATAGTAACTGCTCAATAAATGGTAGGTTTAAAATGGTAAGGACAGGGAAGCTTTTAATCAAGAGAGTGGTTGAAGTGACACACCGTGGCACCAGGAGAATAGGAAGTAGAGTCATGAGATGGTAAAGAGCTGGAGAATGAGAGAAATGAAAGGATGGGAGATCTTGATGAGAATGAGAAGTGGGTTTTCTGAGTACCAAGAAGTAAGAGGGTTAGCAGGTTTCTAGCCAGAGATTGGGCTGGTGAAGTTCGGGGATTCTAAATTGGAGCAGCTCCCGTGTATATTGGATGGTTTAGGACACTAGTGGCTAGAAATGGCATGTGAAGTGGCATGTAGTCAGAGATCGTTGAAGTAAAGGAGATCAAGGACAGTGAGGCTAGCATGTTGGGTGTGTTATCAACCGACATTGATGTTGCTTATATGACGGCAGGGTTGAGAGGGAGAGGAAAATAGAGCCAAGGCAAAAGTCAGCGTCCACCCTGATTAGCAGGAAACAGTCATTTATTTCACAAATACTTGCTGAGTTCTTCCTAGATGTCAGGATATAACAAGACAGACAAGAGTTCTTCCTGCTCTTAGTGGAGTTGACAGTCTAGTAGGAGTCTTAACAGACATTAGTAATCCTCCCTATAAATAGAAAGCTGCAAACTGTGGTAACAGCTATGAAGGAAAAATAAGTGTTCTGTAAGTGCTCATAAACGGGGGGCTCTGATCCTGTCTGGAATGTCGAAGGCGTCCTTGAAGAAGTGATGAGAACTGGATAAATTGGGGTAGATGGAGATAGATGATGGGGGGGTAGAGGAAGTGTTTTGCCTGTGCAAAAACTATGGTTAGAGCATACTAAACAATGCTCTTAGTCTAGCCGTAGGAGAGTAATTTGAACTGAGGCTGGATGACAGCTCTATTAAGTATTTAGGGCTAAATACTAGGAGCAATGGGAATATTCCCATTAAAAGGGTTTGATTAGGTCAATGATATAATCAGCTTTCTCAGTATCTGTGTGTTTGGATCTTGAATAATAACAGCATTTATTATAAAAAAGGCAACACAGAAGTATATAGGGTAAATTGTGAAAGGACAATGTGTGTGTATGTTAGTGTATGTGTGACTGTGCATATGTGCACACATGTTTGTAAAATGCATGTATATAATATGTGAACACATAATAAATGTATACATATGTAATATAGTAAAAATGGTACATTACCATTTTACTACTTACAGGAGTAAAGTGGTAGCTCACGCCTGTAATCCTAGCACTCTGGGAGGCCAAGGTGTGTGGATTGCTTGAGCTCACAAGTTCGAGACCAGCCTGAGCAAGAGCGAGACTCCACCTCTAAAAGAATAGCCAGGTGTTGTGGTGATTGCCTGTAGTCCCAGCTACTTGGGAGGCTGAGGCAAGTGGGTCACTTGAGCCCAAGGGTTTGAGGTTGCTATGAGTTATGACGCCATGGCACTCTACCCAGGGTGACAGAGTGTGATTCTGTCTCAAAAAAATTTTTTTAACTATACAATAGTCATATTTTCATCTCCATATATAGAGACCCACCTCATTCTTAAGGGTTGCATAGTATGCCATGTTTTGGGGGGTTTTTTTGCAGTTTTTCACCGGGCCAGGTTTGAACCTGCCACCTCTGGTATATGGAGCCGGCGCCCTACTCCTTTGAGCCACAGGCACCGCCCAATAGTATGCCATGTTATGGATGCATCGTGACTTCTTTAACTATGGTCCTGTTGGTGGGCATTTTATTGAATGATTGATTGATTGATTTTTTTTTTTGAGACAGAGTCTCACTTTATCACCCTCTGTAGAGTTCCATGGCCTTGTATCTCACAGCAACCTCAAACTCTTGGGCTCAAATGATTCTCTTGCCTCACTTGAGAATAGTTCCAGTAGCTGGGACTACAGGCACCTACCACAGTGCCTGGCTATTTTTTCTTTTTTTTGTTGTTGTTCAGCAGGCCCAGGCTGGGTTTGAACCCACTAGCCCCGGAGCATGTGGCCAGTGCCCTAACCACTGAGCAACAGGCCACTCCCCAATATTATATTTTAGATTTTGTTTTTAAAATTAGATTCAGAATACATGAGGAATGCATAAATATTTTCTTATAAAATTATAAAAATATGTAACAATGAAACTAAATGCTTACACAGGCCTTACCTTGTATCATTCTAAATACTTTATTTGTTTATTTTTGGACAGTCTCACTCTGTCACCCTGGGTAGAGTGCTGTAACATCATAGCTCACAGCAACCTCAAACTCCTGGGCTTAAGCAATCCTCTTGCCTCAGCCTCCTGAGTAGCTGGAACTATAGATCCTAGTCACAGTACCTGGTTTATTTTTCTATATTTAGTAGAGAGGGGGGGTCTCACTCTTGCTCAGGCTGGTCTTGAACTCCTGAGCTCAAGCAATCCACTCACCTTGGCCTCCCAGAGTGCTAGTGAGCCACCACACTTGGCCCATTCTAAATGCTTTATTTTTATTTTTTATTTTTTTGGCCAGGGCTGGGTTTGAACCCACCACCTCCAGCATATGGGGCCAGCGCCCTACCCTTTTGAGCCACAGGCACCACCCCATTCTAAATGCTTTAAATAGATGAGTTCATTTACTCCATGAGATAGGTACTGCTATGTTTTCTACTGTACAAATGAGGATACTGAGGCACAAAAAATTCAGGAGACTTGCATGAAATCTTACAGCAAGTAAGTGTTGGAGCTGTGCTCTTAATCACATCCTTATCTTCCTTCACCTCTATGCCAAACCAAATGCTTCACCGCAAATTTAACAACTGTTCTTAATTTCATTTGCAACTTTATCTACTTACATATAAACAAATGCAAAATATTTAGTTTTGTTTGGTTTGTTGGTTTGCTTTTTACATAATAGGTTATTACTGTGTGACTCCTCGACTAGCTTTCCCCACATAACAATGTGTCTTTTATTTTTTAATTACTTGTATTTTCATGTTAAAAATTAAAACATGGTATATAGGTGCTATGGTGTATCACTGTACACAGGTATAGACAGAGCAAATCTTGCAACTTGCCTCTTCTTCTCCATCTCTGTTTGTCATCCCACAAAAACAACAAGAAAAAGAAAACAGACAACTGTCCAGTTTGGTATGTATCCTTACAGTCCTCTTTCTGTGCATTTTGTGTGAATAAGTAAGTACTTATATATATAATTTATATATATTATTTATACATAATTATATATAATTTTTAGTATAACTGGACCCATTCATATTGTTATGCAGCTTTTAATTATTTCTTTTTTTTGATTTAAATATATATGGTACATTAATATATTTTTCTTCTGAAAGATGAGAACATTCCAGGGAAGTCTAAAATCTCCTTTGATCATTATTGATTTGCTTCCTACCTCCTCCATTCCCACTCACAGTGTGACATAACTTCTGCCATAACTTAAACAAAATTGCAAACATTTTACACAACGTGCACATGCATGTGGGGAATATATGATCTTACTTAGTGGTTTAAAAAATGTAAATTGTATCACACTGTATATATTGCTCTGCTACTTGTTACTTTCACCCAACATAATGCCTGAGAGCTTTTCCTGTTAATAGATAGAAATTTACCTTATTCTTTTTCACGGTTGCATAGTATTCTACAGAATAAATAGGCTATCATTTGTGTAAGCCATTTCCCCATTGACATGGGTATTCCCAAATTTATGCTAATATAGAAAAACCTGCTGCAATGAATATCTTTCTACATGCCTCACTATTTTCTCCATTAACTTTTAAATGCTACCTTTACTCAATATAGATTCTTACACATACTCAGATTTATTTCAGGATTCTCTATTTGGTTCTACTGATGCATTTATTTATATCTGCATCTCTATCACAATGGTTTATTTTCTACATTTCTTTTTCTGCAGTTTTTTTGGCCGGGGCCAGGTTTGAACCCGCCATCTCCATTATATGGGGCTGGCGCCCTACTCCTTGAGCCCCAGGCACCGCCCCTATTTTCTACATTTTTATAATATGTTTGCTCTCTGGCATTGAAAGATACTGTTTTTTCCTTCAATTTTTTTTTGCTATACATACCTATTGACATATTTACTATTTTACATGGATTTTAAAATCAGATTACCATACCCATACAGAATCTTATTGGCATTTTTTGTTGGCACTGCATTGAGTTTATAAATTTAACTAGAGAGAACTGGTGCTTTTACACTAACAAATCTACCTTTATTTACTTATTTATTTATTTTGAGAAAGA